TGAAGTGAGAGAGAAAAATGAGAATTTGGAGTGAGATTATAACTTGAGCATTGGCATTTAGATGCACCCCCACCTCCACAATCCCAATTGAAATCACTGCAAAATTTTAAAATGTGGAGAAACTAAATTAGTGTTTGAGGGCTATGGAGGGTTTCCATCTTCATGCTGCAAACTTTGAAGAATTTCCACCTGATATAGTGCAGATGGGATCATACTGAAGGAATATACCAAAACCAACTTGCAATTTCACTTCCCGAGAAAGTGACAAGAATTGAGTTGGGGTTAGGACAACCTGTAGGGGTTTCCACCTGGTTTACTTTCACAACTAATGATGGCTTAAGAGTGTCACTAGGAGGCCCAGAAGTAGTCACACAAATCAAAGTGGGCTGTGCATTTGGGCTTTTCTCTGGTGCAACAGGCAATGGCGTACAAAGGACTGGCCACTCTTCCTCGAGTGGAGGTTGGGTGAATTCATAAAATGTTTATATGAAAAATTAAAAGTTTTTCCTGGTGGGGCCATCCATGTCTCCACCTCCCTTCCTACTTCTCTTGACTGCTCTATATGAATTTACATTAACCAGTCTTCCAGTGAGAGGGGGAATCTAAGAACATTAGGATAGATGGTGAAGGGTGTGAAAGAAAACCCACCCACCCACCCTATTTTTGGGAAAACACCAGTCTAGATAGACTGCTCTTTGTTCAGGAATGAAAAAAGAAACTTAATATAAGGTTTCTGAAAAGATTCTACAACATAAATGGAGAACATAGTATTCAAGAGGCAGAGGAAGAAAAAGTTATTTCAAAAATATGTTTTCTACAGAAAAATAAGTATTTCTGATAATGTGCTTTGTATACGGAAGTATATAATACAAAGTGAGAAGTAAAAGCAAGTTAAAAATATTATTGAATGAGACTGCAGGCAAAAGTTAAAGGGAGATTGCTGAAGAAGGATGAAATATGAGGAATCTAAAAATGCATTATATGTAGTAAAAAAAATATTAAGAGTGGGGAGAATGGGATGAGTGATGGAAAAGGTAAACCTGAGAAATTCTCCTGAAATGTAATGGGTAGTAGAGCAATGAGATAATAACAGGTTGGACAGAGGATGGAGCTCTAACATGCAGACAGTTGTTCCAAAAGAATTAATGCCTAGATTAAAATCAACCAAATTGATTAAGCATGCCATAAGAAAATAAAAACAAAAACAACTTTCTGGATTATAGAAAGATGTAGACCTGCAGGTAGAATACTTATTCTGTACCTGAGAAAATAAAAAAAGAGATCAATAATTAGATCTACCCTGGCAAATTTTCAAGGATAAAGCAAGGAAATTACCAAGCATCAGGATAGAAAAAGTAACTTAACCCACAGAGGAGAAGTTGACATCAGAATTCTCAGCAATCCTAAATGCCAGAAGACAATGAAGTAATGTCTATAACTTTTTGGGGAAAATGTTTGTGACTCAGAAATTCTAGACTCAGCCAAGGTGTTATCATTAGTGAAAGCAGTATGATCTCAGTTATATAATTTATCACAAATATGCTATCTACATACTTTTCCCAAAAAAGTTGCTTAATTGCTAGCCAGTTAAAAGATAAAATTGGGCCGGGCGTGGTGGCTCAAGCCTGTAATCCCAGCACTTTGGGAGGCCAAGGCGGGTGGATCATGAGGTCAACAGATCGAGACCCTCCTGGTCAACATGGTGAAACCCCGTCTCTACTAAAAATACAAAAAACAAATTAGTTGGGCACAGTGGCGCGTGCCTATAATCCCAGCTACTCAGGAGGCTGAGGCAGGAGAATTGCCTGAACCCAGGAGGCGGAGGAACGGTGAGCCGAGATCGCGCCATTGCACTCCAGCCTGGGTAACAAGAGCGAAACTCTGTCTCAAAAAAAAAAAAAAAAAAAGATAAGGCAAATTAAACAGTTCAACCATGGGGAGGTCATGAAATAAAAGCATTCATGGTAAGTAGTGGAAAGAAACATATATAATAAGTTATGAAATAAAATAAAATTTAAAACATAATGTAAACATTTTAAGTATTTATTGAAAAATAAAGAAAAACAATCATAAAATGAGTCCCAAATGCAAGATAGGGCTAGGAAAAAATATGAATTATTTAGAAGAAGATACAATTTAACAGAGCTATATGGTCACAATTACGTCAAGGAAAGACACCAACAACAGTGGGTTTCTAGGTAATAGAAACACCATATACTTTTTCCTGCTACTTTCTATTTTCATATTTTTATAATACATTTGTATTTTTATAGTGAAAAAAGTGCATGCAGGAGACTAACATGCAGGAACTTAAACTTTACCAAAATAAAGAAAAAATCTATGCATATAGCAGAGTTATAATTACAGATACATTTGTGGTATTGACTGCTTTGTTCTTACTCTCCAAATTAAAAATAAACTAAGCAAACTTAGAAAATACATAATAAAACAGACATCAGAGAACAGAAAGAAAAATAAATTTAAAAGCACAATTTTATATATCAGTAAACAATAGTTTTGAAAAAGCACATGCAGTCTGAGTTATTTAAAACAAACAGAATTAAAAACCTAAACAAAACATGCAGAAAACAATGAATTTAAATCATAAATTCAGAGGAAGTAATATATATAACTCTGCTAACTATGAAGTGAATAGTATTAATTAGCAAAACCGACTTAAGTACTATGCTGGAATTGGCCAATAACTGGAAATATTAGAGAAAACTGCCAAAGAGCTACTCCAAATGTTAGTGCTTGTCTCTAAGTGGTAGCATTATGGGCTATTTTACTCCCTCGTGTGTGTGTGTGTGTGTGTGTGTGTGTGTGAATATTTACTTCTTTCCCACTACAAGCCACTTTAATTCTTTGAACAGTTTTTCCATGCAGGTAAACTATCACATTTTCCGACTAAAAATATTTTCAATAGCCTTTTTTCTACAATAAATTTTACTAAAAACATTCGGTTCATTAATTACTTTTTGTCTATATGAATGCTGTCCATTGTGGCTTTTGAAAATCTGAGTTTTCTTTGATGATCATATTTCTACCAAGATCAATTTTCCTGAGTCAAATTTTGTATGTCCAGATTTTGCCAATATTTGACTCTAATATTGATTTTTAAAAAATCAATTTTACCATACACATTTTTCCTTCTGTTGCTTTTATTTTGTTTGGGTTTTTAAAAAATTATTTTTTCTCTTTAGTTGCCTCAAAAAAATTTATAATAAGCAGGTATGAATTTTGAAGTTAGATATGAATAAAAACCAACTGAAAAAACACATCCCTCTGTCTCTCAAGACAAAGTGGGCAGGTTGTTTCTTTTGAGCTTTAAAGGTAGAAATAGTTGCCTTTCTAAAATTTAAGTGAAGCAAAATAGTAACATGCCCTGAAAGGACTGCCAAGGTTCGGGGAGTCCGTTAATGGGCCTGAGAGCCTCTGTGACTCTGGACTAATGGCCCAGGGACCACTAAGAGTAAATTGAATTTCGCGATTACTGGCTACCTTCACAGCTCTCTGATGCCTCCAGGATGGAAGAGTAGATGCAACAAGTGGCAGACAAATAAATGCTAAATAATAATTCTTTGAGGTTCAATGGAATATCTATCACTTAAGTAGCAAACTATTTACAAAGTGTCCCAAATTTAGCACATTTGCATTGCAAGATTTTACTAGTAACATGAATAGGTGAACTGTTCTTTACGTCACTCATGGAATAAATGAAGATTGCTTTTTGATTTAGGCCACTCGATATACTATACTCAGAACTACATTGCTCATTCCCTTTCCTAAAGAAATAAAGGTGAATGACAGCAAGGTTCTCTCCTGCATGTTAGAAACACTCCAGATTATACTTGCATTTGCCACACAAAAATGCAGGGAGAGAGGAGCAGGTTGATAGGAAATATTTTTTGGAAAAGAAAACAACTAATTGTGTGTATATCCTGCTTATCTTGTTGAATGTTTACTTATATTTTTATTCATACAATTTTTTTTTTAGAGACAGGGTCTCACTATGTTGCCTAGGCCGGTCTCAAACTCCTGGGCTCAAGTGATCTACCCACTTTGGCCTCCCAAAGTGCTGGGATTACAGGTGTGGGCCACCGCGCCTGGCTTATATTTTATTTAAAAATATATATTTTAAATAAACACATTTTTTTTTTTGAGACGGAGTTTCACTCTTGTTACCCAGGCTGGAGTGCAATGGCGTGATCTTGGCTCACCGCAACCTCTGCCTCCTGGGTTCAGGCAAGTCTCCTGCCTCAGCCTCCCGAGTAGCTGGGATTACAGGCACGCGCCACCATGCCCAGCTAATTTTTTGTATAATAGAAACGGGGTTTCACCATGTTGACCAGGATGGTCTGGATCTCTTGACCAGGATGGTCTCAATCCACCCGCTTTGGCCTCCCAAAGTGCTGGGATTACAGGTATGAGCCACCATGCCTGGCCACATTTTTTTTTCTTAGAGATGGGAGTTTCACTCTGTTGCTAGGCTGGAGTGTGGTGGTATGATTATAGCCCCAGAGTCCTAGATTCAAGTGATCCTCCCACCTCAGCCTCCCAAGTAGCTGGAATTACAGGCATGTGCCACCACACCCAGCTAATTTTTTTTTTTTTTTTTTTTTTTTTTTTTTTTTCAGAGACGAGGTTTGACTATGTTGCCCAGGCTGGTCTTGAATTCCTGGGCTCAGGTGGTCTGCCTGCTGGCCTCCCAAAGTGCTGGAATTACAGGTGCCAGCCACCACGCCTGGCCTATTTTTAATTTTTTTTAAAAGAATTCCTATAATATACAAATATCATAAACAAATCACCTACCTCACTTTTAAAATTCTACATTTTTTAAAAGAGAAGTAGGAGGGTGACTTCACGCTGCAGAGGACAGGGATTTAGATTGGGAAACTCTTTGTACTCTATCAAACTCTTCTTCACTGGCTACCTTAAGGCATTTTTGCTGGGAAGAAACCCCTTAATATCAAGGGCAGTTTACCTTAGCCCTCCTCCCATCCCATTGTACCCCACCCTAGCAGTCAGAAGCAGAAGTCTTATGAATAGGTTTTGAGGAAAATATATATCCTGTCCTAGTTTACTCCATTCCAACGCAGTCTTCAAACACATCCTTGACCTGGGACATAGGCAGAGTTCAAATCTAGTCTATATGTTTTGTCAGGCTACTGGTCTTCTTTTTTTTAGAAGACTCCTGACTGTGCCTCTTCTGTTTAAAGATGGTAGAGGCGACGAGTGTTCTCTCGTAAGGTGGCCAAGGTGTGGGAGAGTGACAGATCTTTGACTTTAGCGATCGCTCGCGCTGTATGCAGGGCCAGGCCTGGGTGGGCATACAGGCAATGCCTTTTGGAAATCCAGCGAGGGAGGAAGAAGGGAGCATCAGTTTCTACAATAATTCGCTCTAGTGGGATCTTTTTCACAGCTTCTCGGGCTTGCTCAGCAGAAGAGTAAGTTAGCATTGCCGTGAAGCCCACATACAGGTTGGGAAAGTGATTCAACAGGGGCTCGATGACTGGGTAACTGCCAGTGAAGCAATGCCTGTGAATCTTGTGGTCAGGGGGCACATATTTTTTCAAGATGCCCAACATATCTTCATCAGCCTCACGACAATGGATCATTATGGGCTTCCTTAGAGAGACGGCCAGCCGCAGCTGTCTCTCAAATACCCTCTGCTGCTCTGAGACAAGTGTGGTACACTTATACGAATAATCTAAGCCCATTTCACCAAATGCCACAGCCTTGGGGTGTCGTAAGGCTTTTAAAATATTTTTTTCTTGTTTCTGGTTATAATTGCGGGCAAAGTGAGGGTGACAGCCAAAGGCCCCCCAAACAAGATCATCTTTCAAGTGATACTCCCACAGGCCATCCTTTAGGTTTTGAGGATTGCAGAAGCAAGAGATGCAGCCCTGAAATTCTTTAGGGAAGGAGCGGCTATAAATTTGTCTGAATTTGGTAAAGTTCCCTTTGAAAAGTAGTCTGGAATATAACAGGTCCAGGTGACAATGGGCATCAATGAAACCCTGTTGGTTTGGCTTCCTGAAGGTCCTTGGCAGAAAGCTAGATGCCTGTCCTCCATAAGGATGTTGTAATGTCTCCTCCTCTTGATACACTGTCTCCTCCTTCGTCTCTGCTTCCTCATTTCTAGAGAAGTCAAGTAAACGTGAATTCTTAGATGTGACTTCCTCTGTCATCTCCATCTCTCTGGACATGTTTTGGGAGCTCACTGGAAAACTGGTGGAAAAATAACTAAGGAAATTCTGGTGGCTGCTCCTCTCACCCTGGAATATGTTGTTGTTGTTGCTGCTGCTGCTATGGCTGCTCTTCTCAGCCTGAAATGTGTTACTGCTGTTGCCCAAGGAGGGATAGCAAGAAGACTGGGTACTGCTGAACCAAGAGCTGGTATAGTCATGCAAAGGACTATAATGAGGCGGAAAAGTGGTGTAGTCAGTGGCATAGTATGTAGGCTCTGACACTACAGGGAAAGACAGTGAGAATGGCTCATCTTGAGAGAATATGACTGTGTTTTTACCTTTATCAGACCAGCCACTCCCTGAAGAGGGGTGCTCCATCACCACCTTTTCTTTGTGCTTTTGGATTATTGAATGGGAGTTATAGTCATCCAGAAAATTGAAAGGTGGCGAGCCTTTTTCAAAAATGAGTCGACTTTGGTTACTGGGTTGCTTTTGGAATACCCAATGGGAGTTATAGTCATCCAGAAAATTTAAAGGTGGAGAGCGTTTTTCCCAAATGACTCTACTTTGGTTACTAGGTTGCCCCTCACTGAAGTTTTCAGGAGCATTAACAACCATCCTCTTGTCACAGGAGCTGCTCATCTCTGGAGCTAACTCCCTCTCTTTTTGAGGAGCAATGATAGTGGCATTCCTGGCTGGTCTCTCTCCATGGTAGGGATGCTCTCCTATTCTTGATTGTACACTAAAGACAGCCTCTTCCTTTCCTTTTGGCATGTCATCTCCCAGGATCTCCGGGAGAACCTTCAGATAAGTCAATGAAGAGTTACTATCTTGAGGTCTGCCCTTCCTATTCGGGAACTTGTTTGGCTCCTCAGTTTCATTTTGACCCTCACTTCCAGCTGCAGACGGAGGGTTCATGAAGTTACAGGAGCTAAGTTTGGAATTAACTTTAAGGTTGTAGATGCCCTCCTCTAGAGAAGCCATTTCTTTTCCAAAGGGCTGGCAGAGTATATACGGAATCACAAAGACGAAAGGAACCCCAAATGCTCCGAATTAGACAGTTTTTGGAGCTAGTCCTAATCACACCAGTGGCTGAGGAATGGGAGGAGGAGGAGGAGAAAGAATTTCTGTGGCAGGATAAGCCTTAGGAAAAACCTCTGTGTGCAGGCCACAAAGTACTCCTTATGGGCTTTCAGGACTTTGGGGAGGGGGGTCTCTGTCCCCTTCCAAACCACGTTACTAAGCTCCCCAGGGCAGCAGAGTTTGCTGGGAGATCCTACCTAAGTGCCGCTTGGGTGGTGGTTTTCCGCGTGCGGACCAACTCCAGAGCCGGAGGGCCGTCACGCCGCTCCGGCGCCTCAGGAACTTTTTCAACTCTTTTTTTCCTCCCGTTTTCAACTCTCTGTCACGGTTCTCGGTGTTCTAGGGATGCCAGAGTCCTTCCACGATGATTTCAAAGTGCTTTGGAGAAGTCGCAAGGATCCAGGCCCAGGCCCGGTATGGCGTCCGAGCCCGCGGCACTCTCCTCAGACTCTTCCAAAGGCGGTCTGATTTTGCGCGGTGCAACTTCCCGGATGTAAAATAAAACTGCTTCCGGAGAGTCAAAGTACTTCTGGGAAGTCAAAGTGCTTCCGGGGAGTCAAAGTGCTGTCCGTCAAAACTTTTACTTTTGGTTTGGAATACGAGGCCCTTTGGAGATGTCAGAGCCTATGAAATGACTACAAGACACTTTGGGGATCATACACAGGATGCCCCTGGGTGGACTACTGGCCTAGAGGCCCTGATCCCCAAGGACCAGCTGGAGGACAGGGCAGAACCCAGTATAGAAGCAAAGTCGGGAAGCCTGCCCCACCCCCATCACCTCGCTCACTAGCCTGGGTCAGGCCAGCACTCCCCTCCATCTAAAGGCATCACCCATCCCCCATACAGCCCCGCCTTTACCACGCCTCTTCTCACTGCCCAAGAATGAGTCTACCCAAGCTGCCACCATTACATGCTTTTTGTTCCTCCCATCCACCCGTATGCCGTCTTTAAAAAAAAAAAAAAGTTTTAAAAAACATAGTTATGACTGTGGTATGTAACCATTTAACCATTTTCAGTCCTGTGTGCTTTTTTTTTCTTTTCTTTTCTTTTTTCTTTTCTTTTCTTTTTTTTTTTTGAGACGGAGTTTTGCTCTTGTTACCCAGGCTGGAGTGCAATGGCGAGATCTCGGCTCACCGCAACCTCCGCCTCCTGGGTTCAGGCAATTCTCCTGCCTCAGCCTCCCGAGTAGCTGGGACTACAGGCAGGCGCCACCATGCTCAGCTAATTTTTTTGTATTTTTAGTAGAGACGGGGTTTCACCATGTTTTTTTTTTTTTTTTTTAGACAGAGCCTGACTGTCATGCAGGCTGGAATGCAGTGGTGTCATCTTGGCACACTGCAACCGCCATCTCCTGGGTTCAAGTGATTCTCCTGCCTCAGCTTCCCAGTAGCTGGGACTACAGGCTTGTGCCACCACACCCAGCTAAATTTTGTATTTTATTTTATTTATTTATTTATTTATTTATTTTTTTGAGACGGAGTCTCACCCTGTTGCCCAGGCTTTAGTGCAGTGGTGCGATCTTGGCTCACTCCAGTCTCCACCTCCTAGGTTCAAGCAATTCTCCTGCCTCAGCCTCCCGAGTAGCTGGAACTATAGGCATGTGCCTCCACACCTAGCTAATTTTTTTGTATTTTTAGTGGAGACGGGGTTTCACCATGTTGTCCTGGCTGGTCTCAAACTGCTAACCTCAGGTGATCCACCCACCTCGGCCTCCCAAAGTGCTGGGATTACGGGTGTGAGCCACCGCGCCCAGCCCAGTCCTGTGGACTATTCACTTAACATTACTGCATAGCCTCAGTATTTTTCCTATTGCCGAATGGTTTTCAAAAACATCATGCTAGTGCCATATAATACTCCATGGAGAATGTAGATGTGCCGTAATTCACCAAACCCTTTTCTTTTTGTCATTTCTTCAGGTACCCTTATTCTACCTTTTTTTCTATGATAAAAAGCTGCAAAGAACATCTTTGCGCATATGTTTTTCTGCATTTTGGGTTGTTTCTTTGGACTACGTGCCGGGAAATGGAGTTCCTGAGGGGAGGAGGAATTTTAAATTGGTTCCTCATAGCATTATATTGCTACAGAAGAATTGTACTAACTTAAAATCTCATCCGTGATGAATGGTCCATTTATTAGGAGAAACACACATATAAACCCGATGTTTCATTGTTATTTTAATTTGCACTTCATCTGACAATTTCTTAGAGTGAACATCTTTTTATTTGTTGACCTGCTCATGAATTTTGTTTATACTCTGCTCCCATTTCTCTTTTAGGATCTTTAAAAATTTAATTAAAAATTTTGTATAAAATTACAGTTTAGTCATATTTGTAAAATTGTTTGTTAGCATGTTTTTGTTTATATTTTAATATATTGAAGTTATAACTTATTTAAGTTGTCAAATCTTAATTTTTAAAAATGTTTTCTCTTTTTCTCCCAAGCCCACATTGTAATTCCTCTTTCTGAGGCTTGACATATATTTATTTTTTTGGAAGGTGAAAGAAATTGATTTATTATATGTAAGCGAATAATTCATCTGGTATTTATTTTAGGATCAATTGTACGGGGGGCTATACACTGATGTTTTTCCAAGTTGGTACTTTTTTTACCTATTGATTTATGACTTCTCTTTCATTATGTGTTAAATTCCTGTTAATAGAGTCTATTTCCAGACCATCTATTCTTTTACACCTACTATATCTCTTGTTACTCTCTTTTACTACATTAATAATTGAACTATTATATTAAGATTTTAAGTCTGGGAGAGCTAGATTTCCTTCATTACACTTAAATTTTATATTTAAAATTTATCTCTAATTGGCTGAACTATCTCTAATAGGCTGAACTGTTTATTTTATCAGGTAGACTTAAAAAATAATTCTAGGCCAGGCCCAGTGGCTTACACTTATAATCCCAGCACTTTGAGAGGCCAAGGCAGGTGGATCACCTGAGGTCAGGACTTTGAGATCAGCTTGGTCAACATGGTGAAACCCCATCTCTACTAAAAATACAAAAATTAGCTGGGTGTAGAGGCATGCACCTATAGTCCCAGCTACTTGGGAGGCTGAGGCAGGAGAATCACTTGAACCCGGGAGGTAGAGATTGCAGTGAGTCCATATCGTGCCACAGCACACCAGCGTGGGTGACAGAGTGAGACTTCATCTCAAAATGATAGTAATAATAATTCTAAGTCCCTCCAAAATAACTTTCAAATAGCCACTTGAAAAGTTTTTTGTCTGCTTATCCAGAATATATTTCACCTATCCTTTTAGTCATGCTCTTCTATTAATATGTCTTCTAGTAAAGCTTTTTAGAGTTTTATCTGGGTCACAGAGAGTTATTAAAACTATTTTTAAGTGTTTTGTAATTTTTTATTATATTATGAACATACTTTCCCCCCACTGTCTGGTATAACTGGTTATTGCTAACACATGAGAATATTTTAAATTCAGGTATGCTTGTACTGAAATCTTCATTAGTTTTTCAGCCTCTGCCTTTGTCATTATTTTGTCTGCCCGTAATGATAATTTTTGTCTCTTTCTTGCTAATATTTTTGCTTCATATCTTTCTACATTGTCCAGAACTTTTAAAAACAATATTAAATAATGATGCTAGTAGGGGCATTATTGTTTGGTTCCTGATTTTGGTAGGCACATAGTTTAATTAAGTATTATGTTAGATATTTACACTGTTGTTTTAAAGCAGATGCTTTTGTAATCTTGTTAAGGAACTACCCTTGCAATTAAAAATGTATATGGTAGGAAATGGTGTGAGATCATTATATATTTGCTCATATTTCCTAATTGGCAAACATGTTGGCAACTGTGAATAAAATGCTGTTTTTTGTGTAGGTGGCTTTTAACTGTTAGAGACTATTGAATTCTGTTTGCCTGTATTTTACTTAGGATCTTTCTTCTATAAATCATAAGTAGTGAAATTTCTCTGAAGCAGTAGTTCTCAACCTTGGCTTGCACTTTGTAATCACTTGGGGAGCTTTAAAAATCACTGATGCCTAGGTGCACCCTGAGAGAGTCTGATTTCTCTCTCTCTCTCTCTCTCTCTCTCTCTGTGTGTGTGTGTGTGTGTGTGTGTGTGTGTGTGTGTGTATGGGGGTTGGTGGATGTCTGTGGCGGGGATTGGGGAGCTGGTGGAGGGGCAGTGTGGCCATAGCATCAGGATTTTTAAAAGCTCTATAGGTGATTCTAATGTGCAGCTAGGGTGAGAACTATTGTTTTACAGTTACTTTTTTTTTTCATGGTACATCTGTCAGGCAAAGGAATTCACCTTTGTAGCTTTCCATCTTTCTTTTGGTATCCTGGGGAGTTATTTTAATTTGGTAATTTTCTTTTCCTTGAAAGTTTGAACAAATTCATTAGTAAATCATCCTGGTTGGAGACTTTGTTGAGGCAATTCCTTGGTAATATTTTTCACTTATTACTTGGTTATTAGCTTATTCATTGTGTTTTTGATGAGTTACAGTTCTTACAGAATAGCACTTATCTAATTGCAATTTTAAAATTTATTTTTCATATGCTTGCATGATTATTGTAAGCTAATTTATCTTATAGTTCATATCTTATAATTGCATCTCCGTCACACACAGTCTCATTTCTCATTTTATTTATTTATATATTTCTTGATGAGCTTTGCTAAAATCTTAGCAATTTTATTCATTTAAAAAGTCTGTGGATTTATTTATTGTAGTTGTTTTTCTTCTTTCAAATTCATCTGTCCATACTATCTTTTTTGCTTCCTGTTTTTCTTATGACAATTTTTTGCTTTTTCAAAAGCTTTTGTTTGTTTTTTTTGAGGCGGTCTCACTCTTTTGCCCAGACTGGAGTGCAGTGGCACGATCATGGCTCACTGCAGACTCTGCCTTCTGGGTTCAAGCGATTTTCCTGCCTCAGTCTCCTGAGTAGCTGGGATTACAGGCATGCACCACCAGTCCCAGCTAATTTTTTTGTATTTTTCGTAGAGACGGGGTTTTACCATGTTGGACAGGCTGATCTTGAACTCCTGACCTCAAGTGATCCGCCTACCTTGGCCTCCTAAAGTGCTGGGATTACAGGCATGAGCCACTGCGCCCAGCCTTAAAAGCTTTTGTTTGAACCATTGCTGACTGGTTCTAAACTCTGGCTATGTTTCAGAATTACCTGGGGAGAGCAGGAAAGAAAAATAAATATCTTGCACTTGCCTATCTCAAGGTTCATGGTTGAGACCTCTGTAGCAAAAGACAGATTAACAAGAGAAAAGTGCACAAATTTATTTAATGAAAGCTTCAGGAGACATGGAGCCTTTAGAAATGGCCCAAAGAAACAGGGGAAAACTGTATTTCTATGGACAGTCATGTAGAACTATGATTGGAGGACAAAAGGATGTGATCTAATGGTAATAAACTGGGGGGAACTTGTGATAGCTAGACTTGTTTGTTCAGATTTTTTTT